ATGACTCCCTTCTTTCTACAATTGATAATTTGCCGTACATTGAGAGCTGTGCTCGCCACTATTTTGAAGTTAACGAGGGTTCAGTCACCTCCCCGGTGAGTTTGTGGGAAGCTCAAAAGGTTACCATGAGAGGACACCTGATCGAGCTAGCTACTCGTAGAAAGCGAGAATGTTTACGGAAAATTGATGCTCTGCAGGAGAGCCTGGTACGTCTCGACCGCTCCCTGAAAAATAAATATGACCGTAAAACATATGCTCAGCTGTCCTCTGTGAGAACCGAGTTGAACTTGCTGCTGGATCAGCTGTCGGAAAAACATGAACAGTACCTTATCCAGTTACTCTTTCTATAATGTCATAGGGGTCTATTTATAAACAACCCAAGTAATCCACCACAGATGGCTTTTTACAGAGAGCCGTCTGTCCAAACGTGGCATAGGAGAGATTCCAACATTGAATTTTGTAATAATTTCTATTACAGGTGGGAAAGGAGAGTCTTCCTAACAAAACGTCCTTGTCATTGTAACTTACCACCGTGAAATTCTTACCACTCTACTTACCCAGTAGTTCCTATTTAAGACAAATAGCAACATTAAATACTTAACTTGGCAGTGTTGACAGCAGCTCCATATCCAGTCGGAAAACCACATCCAAAAAGGCAAGCCTTGTCCATTGGAGCTTTGTCATCAATTTTTGCAACAGCATCAACAGGTACTACAGTGTATTCAGAAAAGGTGCTTGTCCACAAAAAATGGTACACAACTTTCCCCTTGCATGAAAACCTGGTTGTCTTGTCAGGCATTATATTTTGAGATTCACTGATGCTGTATTGGAGTGGCACGAAGAGGAAGATTAATAAAGCAGGTGCAGTTTAAACATTAATAGAATCCACATTTACACAATAATTATCACAACATTTTACTTTATTCAAGAAAGCAATCAGAATGATTTATAAAAACTGGCAAAAAGATTTCTAGTCAAAAAAGAAGATTGACTATAATTCAAATTGGAGTGTGAGTGACTTTACATAAAGATTAGACTCATGGTTCACCGAAATTAGGAAGATAAGCAGTAGGGCATACAAGGAAAGTAAGTGTCAGTGGGTGGGGTGGTGGCCAACCAAGATAACCGGTCTCTTTTGCCTGTTAAGGGCCTTGAATGAGAGGTGTCAGGTTCTCTTTAAACAATGTTATCCAACATTACATACTGCTGTCAGCAATCTGTAACACTGTGCATTGGGTATATAAACCTTCTTGTAAACATTAGAGTCACAGCAACTGCATTTAGTGCTTGCCTGAAATCCTGTTTCAAAGTATCTGAATTAAGTCAGTTAGATGGCAAGTCACATTTTATCCATTTTTACCTCTTCTAGCCTAGTGAAGCTCAGACATTTATATAACTATTCATGTATGAATGTACAGTATGTGCTGAAAAAAGGTTAAACCATGCTACAAATTCCAGGAGGCTTAAGACACCCAAACGTTGGCAAGACATATGCTTGCTTGTTTGCTGAGACAAATGTATCATCAATTTTTATTTATACTTGTGAACTTTGATGTGTTATCGCTTTTCTTTGTGGTGGGACAGCCACTACCACACAGTCAAGGCCTGGAAAATCCAGAAAATGTTGTGTCTGCCTCCATCCCTCCACTGAATCATGTAGACTGACAGCACAGTTTAGAAAGAGTAAACTAGTAGAAAATAGGAAGTAAACAAGTTTCTGTTCATGTTGAGTTGCCATACAAATGTCCTGGATTCGACTGTTAGAGGTATTAGGACCCCATAAAAAATGGAGGTTGCAGTATTTTCTATACTGCTCTGGGGGTATGCTATATGAACACTTTAATAATAAATACACATCAGTGTTAACCTTTAATAATAAATACACATCATTAACTAAGCTTGAGTAAAAATAACTGCCTGTCCTTAGAATTTGTTTCAGCAGAGTAACAGAACATAATGAAAAGAGAAAAACGTACTGTGTTTTAAGGCAGCAATTGGTGTGTGGATTTAAACAAGAGATGCATTGTCCACATTGAGGAATACACAATGGGATCACTTTGTCTCCTAAAAAAAAAACATGTATATATTAATTAATAATGAGCCATGTATTTTAATTCATTTGTCCCCGCGAGGTGTAAAGCTGGCCATACACCTATAGATTATCTGCAGATTTTCTATGGTCAGATAAAAAAAAGTGCAACATATTCCTCCATCTACGCTAAACTGTGTGGATGGAGGAATCTACCGCAACCTTCAGTATCTTGCTATTCGGCCCCGCTGGGTCTCAAAACTGCTGAACAATGCCTGCATCCAATCAGATTATTCATGTATTTTGACAGCCAGTGGGGCCGACTAACAAGGTACTGACCACAGAGTACCACATTGCACATACTGTGCATTCTGGTGCATTACTAAAAAAGGGTCTTGTACATTTTTTTTTTCATCTGCTATGGTGCATTATGAATGGGCTGTCTTAATACAATGCACCTGAACAGCTACAAGGTGACAAAGCAAATGCTACAAGGGATCACTAAAGCGTGAATCAGGCCTGAGAGAAGAAAACAGCATGCTGGGGTTTACTGCAAAGCTTTTGTAAAGGCTTATTCCAGTCAGGCTCAGCATTTAATAAATACCAACAGCAGTTTTCCATTCTATACTGTTCTGCCCTGGGTCCCTCCAGGTTCCAACAAATTATAACATCCTCTTAGGTGTTCACAAGGCCTTGATTCTGTATCTTGACAAGGTTTGATTCTATAACTTGATATTTCCCTTGGTCAATATCCTTTGTGTTATTTGTAGATGTTTTGCATAGCTGTTACAAGCCCATCCTTAAGCAGTTCCCAGTACACTGGTGTCCTGTGGTTATTCTCTAATGTTTCTGCAGTATCTTTTGACCTGGATCCTACCTGGTCATACCTGGATTGAGGTCAGTCACGCCTTCTCCAACACTTTCAATTATTCCAGCTCTTTCATGGCCAAGAATAACTGGATAATTAATATTTTTCATATAACCATGCAGGGCATGATCATCTGTCCGACATATTCCTGTAGCCACCATCTAAATGTGGAAAAACAATCAGACATCGGAGTCAGTGCAGAAATGTTCATTTTTTGTAATAACTAAACTTACTCTTAGCCAAGCAGCCATGCTAATAAGGAATTCACAGAATTGCTGTGACACACAATGCTGCAAACAAACAACTCTGTTGGATAGTGATGGATAGCCACAAATTAAATAAATAACAGAGACATAAATGTCAGTCATTTTATATAAGATTCTATTTTATGTGACTATGAAAGAGTTTAGGAGAGATGAGAGTGCTATGTAAGGTTTTTATTTGGTGTTTAGTACATATTGGGTGTGTAGCTCGTAATAGGGCACACAAGCACATCATAAAAGCCATTATATGTCATAATAACAATAACACTAATACTTCTGCTGGATGCTGATCAATTATATTATCTTCCTGTTCAATGAATGCATGCAACTCAGTCTTGGTGCTCGACCCTTAGAATATAAATACTGTCTTTGCTGCTGTTGCTTACTTCCTACACATACAGGTGAAACTCGAATAATTAGAATATCGTGCAAAGTTCATTTATTTCACTAATGCAACTTAAAAGGTGAAGTAGAAGTTTATCAGAGAGATGTAGACATTCTGGTAGGTGTGGATTGTACCATAAGGTTGCAACAAATTTATTTGAGCACGTTGTAGAAAAAAGCAAAATAAAATATGTGCATGAAGCACACATGCTTCTTAAACTTGAGAAGATAATAGTAAGTTCTGAGGTTTCCAAAGAGGTAGTCTACCTAGATTACTCAAACATAACAGAGCCGAGTTGAGGTAACAGCTACTACCCTTACTAAAAGGTATAGAGCACCAAGCAGGTAAGGGAGGGGCTTTAAAATACATAAAAAAAAAAAAAAAACAATCTCAAGAGTAATACAAAGGCTACCTGAGTTGACCTTTTTCTCAAAGTTGCCCGACTGTCTCTACATTCGATAGTTCAGTATTTCCTGAGTCCTTGAACTGGAACAAGCACACAGCAAGAGTATCCAGAGACAGGTCAAATTTATGATCTGGAAGCTTTCTCCAATCAATGACACATAAATTATGTAATCCGTTTGATCAGCACGACAGCCAGACAAATTGCATTTTCAGAATGAGGTCAGCAGCCTTCATATTTCAGGACAAGTTTCCTGATCCCAGAATAGGAGGGTTTGGGTTCATTATAATCAGCTTGTGGCTTTTCTGTGGTGTAATGAGGAAAAGTGCAATGTCTGCATCCCTTTTGTAAAAATGAACCATTAGGGAGCATATCCACTAAAATAGAATTACTATTGCGAGGGATGCTTAAAATGTTACTTGCATCTCAGTGCAGGTCTGTCAAATCAGTCAGCCAAACACAGAGGCCGGAAGTGACCTTTCTGGGGGTGTTCCCCCCGGTGGAGCCATCCGCAGGTACATTCACATAAAGTATACTCCATTGGCTTCCAGGTAGATATAGTGCAACTGTAATCTCTAACATATAGTGTGGAGCCCCAGCAATACCTTGCAAGTTTTATGTGTTTTTATTGAATACAACTGTGTGGTAGCCAGTGCTCTACACAATTTTTTTACAGAACGCCTCCAGGTCACCATATTGCATTGAATTTTTTTTGACAGATTTAGAACATTACAGCGGCTGCTGTTGTAACTGGAAAGGTAATTGTTTATAACATTAAATTACAAAATGTCCCATGCAGCAATTATATATGCTATATTTGTTTTCTATGATTTTTTCATTTTTATGTTTTTAAAGTGGAGTTTCACTTTAAATATCAGTGGCACTATAAACATGATGAGTTAATGCCTCTCACATGTTCATGCTGCAAATATGCCCCCTCTCTCTAAGCACACCAGATGTTAAAAAAAGAAAAATGATGATATATATTATAGAATAAGTAAATTGTACAACTGATGTGGTCGAAGAAATTACCAAGTACAAAACACAATGATTGCCACCTTTTTGTTTTATTAAATGCCCATAAAGGAGTCTTTAAAACCAAAGGAACATTTTGAAATATTTTCAGTATGAATTCCTCCAATAAGAACTTAAAAACAGTTCTACAAACACAAACAAGATTCTGTCTTTTTTATTTAAAATATATAATTATTTTAACCAATATTGCTTGGCAGGGGAGCTGAAAAAAATATTCTTCTTGAAATGAAAACACAATATGTACACATATGATAGTATCCACAGGATGTCACGTGTCATTGTTATGCTCCTCTTTATTAATAGGTTCTTCCTCATCTTCAGAATCAGAGTCACTATCTAAGTGATTTCCATCATCCTGAGTAAGGGAAACGTCTGTTGGCGCCTCACCAGTCTCATCAATAGGCACTGCTCCTTTACGCGGAGGTAGAACACTGAAGAAGGCGTCCTTCCAATCTTTTTTCTCCAGATAAGCAAGTATGATTTCAAATACTACAAAAAGAATACATTAGTAGGCAAGAACCAAAGTAAATTGATAGTTAAGTACTAGCAGAATGCTGAGCACAAAGTGATCAAGTGATAGTGAGACTCCAATTACATTTCTCAGAATCAAACCAACAAACTGAACTAATAAAAGTGTGCTACATCACTTGCCACCGATTTCACATTTGAACAAACTAAGCTATATTGTGATGGGTCGACACATGTCGACCCATCTTGGGTCCTGACCCCCAGTTTAAGATGCAATGATAATAAAGAGGCATCACCGTGAACCAAATCTTTCATATATGGACTCTCCACATCATAAAACCCTCTGCAATTGGTTGTAACTCCATGCTTTTTTTGGCTTTTGCATGATGCAAACTGTTGTGCTTGTAGTCTTTCTACAAGGAAGCTTTCTTAGTTACAAGACTTTCTTTTGTCCATTTTGCAACCCTTACCTTCTACACAAACTCTAAACTCTCATTTGAAAGCTTAGAAGCTTAAACAACTCCAGGTTCAACTATATACTGTATATATTTACATTAGTCCGGCAATGGGGATACTTTAATACACTGTAAAAGCTACAGCTATATAGTGTATAACAGCGTCTTCATCCCTTCATCCAATCAGAGAACACCTAGTATTCACTGAGGAAAAAAATACTAGGCAATTCCATTGGAGGGATTTACCCTCACCCCCTACTCAGGGACAATGTACCGGAAGAATAGAAATTGATGGAATATTTTTTATAGATGACAGACAACAAAAACCCATTTTGTCTGGAATTGGGGTTTAATATTAAAAAAGTATAGGTACAAACCTAGAACCCTTTTTATTTTAACCAGACAACTTACCATGATTTACAGCTAAGACTTTGCGACTATTCATCTTCACAAAATTCCCAAGAGGAAGTTGAGCATGACGGATACCGAAATCCAGAGCTTGCTTGTAAGTAATGCCCTGCAAGAAGATTTCATAACTGTCACACCACTTAAACCATGACCGTATGAGTACTAACAATGAAAATGTCTCAAGCAGAGTTAAAGCTCGCTTAAGTCTGCTAAAAGTGTCAAGTTTTGGCACTTTGCTACCTCAGGTATTTCACATTTGCGGGTGTCTGTGTACTTGGTCCCCATGCTGCATCCTGTATTTCCTCTCCCTGGCTTATATGTCACTACAGGGCTTACCAAATGTTCGGAGAAAGCACAGTGTGGGGAATTTATAAAAACTGGAGAAGACAGAATCTGGAGCAGTGGCCCATGGCAAACCAATCAGCTTCTACATTTCATTTTTAAAGCTTAAATGAACCAAACTGAAGACAGAAGCTGATTAGTTGCTATAGGCAACTGCTCCAGTTTTTATAAATTTCCCCCAGTGTGTTCCAGTTGGACCAGGTAATTAACTCACCCAAAGTGTGGCATACCTGCAACAGCCAAGAAGCAGCAAAAAGCAGAGTTTGAAAACGGGGATCACTAGAAAAGTAAATATAGATGCTATTCTTTTACAGGGTGTGCCAAGTTTCCAAGTGACCCTGCGTTGACAGACCAAAGCTGAAGTGTGCTGCAAGGGATTTAAGGAAACTGCTTGAAATTGTATTAATGTTTGTTGAAGCTGATGCTCCTGAGACTGCTATATGCAAAATAGGATTAAACAATACCTGCGTGCTTAGGGCCTTATACTTGATCATATATAGACTGCTAACCTGGCAAAGCTTCAGCTAATACCCGCCAACAGGAACAGTGCCATCATAATAAGCATACAAATCTATATATGCCCAATGACGATCCAACAGCTAGAGGCATACACTTGTCCAAGCTCTCTAAAATAACAGCTCTCTGCGATTTCGCTAAATATTGGTCAGAGTAGGAAAAGTCAAAAACCAAGAACAAAATTATAATACACTGCAAGAATTATTATTTAAGGAACTTTTATCTTCTCTTAAAACCTTGATGGAACAAATTGACAGAGAAAGAGTGAAAATATCAGTAAACACTTCTGCCAGCTGGTAAGCACAGTCCTTAAAGTGCAAGTGAAGCCAAACTTTTTTTTTGTTTTGGTTAGAGCGGAGAGGGATTAGAAAAACCATTTGTGGGTTTTGTTGTTGTCTGTCTGTATCCTGTTAGGGGCATTCACCCTCCCTATTTGTCTTGGTGATCGTTATCAGTGAAAGTGCAAGAAAATCCCCATCAGAACAGGAATAGATGGGAAATCTTCCATTGGGGACACTAGTTCTGGTGACCTTGCTGACCACCATGGATTTCCCTCTCTTTGAAGGGATTTCCTCTCACTTCCTGTTGTAACGGACAAGATGTAAAGAGAAATCTCCCCAATGGGACACAGATGGCAAACAAAAACAAAAAAGGGTTTATAAGGGTTATAACCCGGTCTTACCCTATCCAAAATTAAAAGAAATTGTGGTTTCACCTCTACTTTAAGCACTCTGTACAGTGTCCCATCTGGACCTATGGGCTTCCATACATTAACCCCTTAAAAGCACACTTTCATTATAATTCTGTAACCTCACTACCAGTCCCAGTGGATAATAATGCAGGAGATACAAAAGTTCCAGTCTTTAGGTTTAATCCTACTGTTAGATACTACTACTAGCAATACCCACTCGACTGTCTATTGTGTGTTACATTCTGTATCCCTCTTCTTAAACTGTCTTGAGTTAGAGCTGTCAAAAAATTAATTACATTAGCATCTGGAGCTACTGTATGTACACCGCTATAATGATCACCACATTAAATTCCTGTGGTAAATTAACAGTTCAGGCTTAAATGCAAGATACTCCTGATCTGGTAAAAAGTGTAGAGTCCATACACCATTCATTATCCATGAAGATACAGGGCCTCCCTCCACTAGATTGGCGTGAATACCTATATCACGATAATGAGTTGAGTATCCCGTAAGCTCAATTACCTCAACTGGTATTAATGCATTTAACCACATCTCAGTTATTATTGCTTATTAGCATAAAAATTCAATCTGGAGAGTGATCGGGCATTTCCTACATACAAACTAGGTAGAGGAGTTTAAAAGGAGCTTTCTGTAACCATTGATGTATCCTCACATGATAGCCCCACCTTTGCTTCTTATCCCTGCAGGAGCATCAGCACCTGTTATCCATGAGGATCCCGAAGATCTAACAATCTCAGCTGATATATGTGAAATGTGATCAAATCATTTAGTAACAAAGTTCTGGCATAGAGTATCAATATGAAGTAAATCCTGCCAGGTGAATACAATGTTACAAAATCTGGTATCTGCAGGTTGTAAAAGAGAGAACACAGAAAAGATAAAGCACCATCTAGGGAAGCACTGAGGAGGAGGATTGCGCAGCGTTAGCCAAGGACTTCTTAGTTTTGCATTCATGCAAAGCTATAAACGGAATTCATCAAAATTCTGAAGCGCTTCCTCTTCTGCGTAATCCACCACCAAGATTAAGGGCCTATTCACACTTGTCCATTTTCATGCAGCCATTTCACATCTAAGCGATGCAAATTAGTATGTCAGGAAAAGATCATTTATATGAGACTGTTCACATCGGCTGCATACACACGGAGCAGTGTGAATCCAGCCTAAAAGAAATCACCAGTATCTGCAACTACCGTGTTTCCCCGAAAGTAAGACCTAGCGCTATCTTCAGGGGTTTCTGTAATATAAGACCTACCCCGAAAATAAGACCTAGTTCGGTGGTAGGTCTTATATTACAGAGATCCGCTAGGTCTTACTTTCGGAAGCTCCCTCCCTCGCGCCCGCACGAGCGGACAGCTGCAGCCAGGTACACATAAGACATCCCCCGAAAATAAGACCTAGTGTCTTTTTTCGTGGAAAAAAAAATATAAGACACTGACTTATTTTCGGGGAAACACGGTAATATCTACTTCTATCGATTAGCTCCTCATCCAAGCTGCATACATAACATTTTTGTTTTTGGGTTTAGATATGCTTTAAATACCTTCAAAAAACTTTTCCTGGTAGAGGCGAACACAGGGACACAAACATATAAAAGTCAGACAGGGGTTCTAGCTTTCCTCTACTCTACTAGTGTTTTTAGTTCTGTCTGTGCTGCTAATGGAAAGTGCCCTTCACTTCCTGTCTGGTAAAATGTATTCAGCAGGAAAGGAAGAGGGTAAATCTCTCTAACGGAACCCTACTTGGCAGTAAAAACCCAACAGGGTTCTAACGCTTACCTAGTCCAAAACTGGAAAAAAAGGTTTTGGATGGACATGCACTTTAATATTTTTGAATTCAGCATTCGATAGTTCTACTTTCACCCGTGGTTAAATGAATACTATAAACTAGATAACACAAATGTTGTACTTTAAATGCAATTTGCAACCCTTGCATTTAGAGCAGTTGAGCATTGCACCAACCATGACCTGGTGTTACTGGACCACCAATAGTTTTCACAAAACCTTTTTCCCTCCATACCTTGTGGTGATTGTGATCTACAAGGCCACCAATGATGTAAGCTTTGGTCTCATCTAGCTCATGGAGTACTTCAGGGGAATCAGATGTTAGGTATACCAGGTCTTCAGACTTCATGAGATCTTTGTAATGCTCTGAACAGATGTGTATATCCTATAGGGAACATGTTTACAGATTATATTCAAAGAAGAACTAGTATGGGAATGAAAAGCAACAATAGATTTGCAGATTATGTACTATTAGCATTTGTTACAGTGATCGGTAGCAGAAAAAAAAAAAAAACACACAATTAAATTACATTTAAACTGCAGATTTTTCTTTTTTCAAATTTTTGGATACAATGGGAATGGGACAGATCATGTCCGGTTTTTATTGCAGGGAAAGAGACAGCATTAAAAAACACTTTTTTAATGAGGAAAGGCTACAATCACTCTCATAGTTTTGTTGCGGTCTGCTTCACTGTTAGCAAGATCCCCTTTTTTATTGCTGTCTCATTAGGACAGGAGGTAGGAGGAAATTGCCTCAATGGGGGCAAAGACAGCAAAAAAAAATGATTTACACACAACATATTGTAAAACCCTTTCCCACTAGAATAAAGAAAATAAAGATAAAACTGGAGCCACGGTGTAATACTTTTTGTGGACAGGAGATGGCATCATCTGAGACAGGCTTCATTTTACATTACAGATTTAAATCATTATAGATTTCACTTCTAAATGATGTAGAAAAAAAATGGAGCAGAGCAAGGAGATTTTTACTTTACAGATTAGACAATCTTGCATTTTACCTGCAGCTCTTTAGGCCAAATATTCAAACTAAATGGCTTACAGTAGGTAACTGTAGATTCCTACACACACACACCTTTACTTGTAATTAATGTCTGCCGAATGTCAAAGTCCGCTGTGGTGTGTTAAATGAATGTTCATTTTTGTTGCATTAGATGCAGCCTAATCAGTTGAATGAGCTGCCCTGCGTACTGCAATGGACCAAAATGTGGTAATGCAGTGATCATAGGCAGCGCTGCAACGCAAGTGCACTGTGAAGCTGCATCAGGGTATTATTCGGAAACTTAAATCAAAAAAGGTAAGTTTAGGAATCAAAAATAAAAAGTTAATTAAAAAACAACAAAAAAACCCAGACATGAAGTTAGGATGTCCCGCTCAGTCATGTGTATCAAGAGAAAGATTAAAGGAATATGTAGAAGATTTATATAACCACATGCTGTTTGGAGCAATTTCTTAATTGGCACAAATGGTTTTGCACAAATGGTTTTCAAACCAGTATTTTTAGGACAAAATACGCTATAATTAAATTTAGTGCACAGAAACAGAATATAATATCCAATTTTTTTTTTAAATATAAAAGGTGGGGTCACTGCGGGTAAATAAGATACCAAACATGTTGAGCCTTAAATTTGTGTTCGCCCGTGAAGCCGCAAAGAACTGCAATACCCCAAATTTTACATAGGCGACGCTTTAAAAGTTTTAACTGTTCATCAGTTTACTATTAACAGTGAATGATGGCCCTAGAATTATTGCTCTCACTCCGACGTTCGCGGCGATAAGTAACGTGTGGCGCAATTTTCATTTGCATGAAGGCGCACCCGATGCATCTTTGCGTTTGTATGTGTGTGTACGTCGGGGGCGAACACTTTAAAAAAATCTTTTTTGCATTTTTTATTTTGTTACTTTAAAAAAAAAATTTTTACACTTAACTTTATTGCTATCCCATAGAGGGATAACAACCCCCTATGTAGTAGCAAATATGATGCGACAGGTCTTCTGTATGGAGTCATCCGGGGTCTCTCAGACCCCTAACGTCACATAGGAACCTCAAAGAAGCTGATGAAACAGTAATCTGCTTCACCAGCTTCTTCTCCTGGCTACAGGAGCCGGAGAATGTGCCTAGTGACACTGGACATGATGTAACACATCACTTCTGTGGACAGTGATCGGAGGAGGGATCAGTGGCTAGAAGCTTGATGATCTCCCTCCGATCGATGATGGGAGACCCGCCCTACTGGCGGCGGAGGGGGCACACATTCAGCCGCACTGCAAGCAATCAGGCGGCTGTATACCTGCCGGATTACTTGTATCTGAACAGCCATCACCAGCTGTTTGAAACGATACCAAGAACAAGTATAACCTTGGTATAACCACTTCAGGAGGCCGACGTTTATAAACGGCCACTCGCCTGAAGTGGTTAAACAAAGCCTTAGCAAAATACACAGCAACCTTCTGCAAAATTACCTTCCAGTTGATCCAACCTTTGTCATATTCCTCCATGTTGCTTTTCAATTGTCCACCATGGCTGGTTAAATAAAACTAGAAATAAAACATAGTGTGAAATAATATAATACCCCTGCTGAACTAGAATAAGCAAAATGTTTCCAAGAGTTCTCGCAAAGCGTAAAAGGTAATAGATGATTGGATGTTCTAATACAAAATTTTTTTTTTTTATTTGTTCTGTTATTACATACAACAACATAAAAATTTAATATTATGAGCTATATATTATGGATTAAAATGTTTTACACTGGGAAAAGTAACAGCAGGTCAGTTTGAGGGTGTTTTACACAGACCTATTTTGTGAGAAAAGTATATGTACTCCTTACCGGATTTCTGTCATAAATACAAGTGGGTGCTTGCAGTGACCACGGTTGGCGCCTGAGATAGTACGTTGATTTTGATGACAAATGTCATTCAATTTCAAGTTCTTTCGGGGCCTCGTAGGGTCTCCTTCATCAGGCTCAGAATGACAAGCCATTCATTCTGAGCCTGATGAAGGGGACACTGCGAGGCCCCGAAAGAACTTGCAATTGAATGACAACATTTGTCCTTAAAATGGACATTTGCTGAACACAAACAGCTTGGTGTGCTGGTGACATCTTTTATATATACGTACTATTTTGTGACAAGTCACTCATAAGCTGCACATGGCTCTAGGCTCCCGTCATTGGAACTGCCATAGAGTAGGTTTCAACATGTACTGGGGAATCACTGTGTGAAAATTCTTGACTAAGCCGATAATTGCTACATTGCTTCTGACTCAGCTGATAACTATTACATAATTTCAATGATGAATACCATAGTAAAAAATATGGACCATTGTATATGCAATGTTTTATATTGAAGATTCTATCCTTTGGTGGGATTGCAATGAAAAGCTTTCAAAGAACCCTAGTAAAAAGGTAAGAAGCCTGTAATCCTTACCTGAACCTCAATTACTGGAAGACTTATAACAGGGAAGCAAATAGGTACAAGCATGTAATCGGCTTAACCAACCATTTTGTAGGCTGCAGAATTAAACAATTTCTGGATGGCTGCTGTAACCAACATCTCTGCATGTTTTCTATTTCATCCATGTAGAATTAGAATTCGAGGAATTTAAAAACGCACGATTCTGCCCAAACAGAGCTGATGTACTTTTTCAAGTTACAAGCGATACAACATTGAGGTGTGAACTGACACCATTACAAATAATGATATTCTTCATGCTGAGCATTGTCGTGTTTCAGAAAACAAAACGATCAGGTGTGAATGGGGGCTTAAAGTGACACTAAACTCAGGAGTTAAACCTTAAAAATGTATTCAGGTACCTTAACCACTCCAAGCACGCTCCCATGATGACTGCAATCTCAATGCAAAGTAATCTAAATGTGAGATTGTAGTCCATCACAGGAGCGAGCTTGGAGCGATGACTACTTAACAACACACACAGGGACCATTGGGAACATAAGTAACCACCCTCCAGAAGGAAGGACAGTGTCAGCAGGAATTCAGAGATGATTTGAGGATCTACAGCTGAGTGATACACAAATAAGATACATTGTTGTTAATAGTTAAGCCACTAGAATGTATTTTGTTTTAGGATTTAGGGCCCCTTTCACAAGAGCTGTCTGATCGGGTCCGCCTGTCACTTTTTCAGGCGGGCCCGATCGGATGCTCTATCAAGTCTATCTGCAGCCGTATGTAAACAGACGAGCGTCCGTTAACACCGAGTTAGCCCTGGCTACAGCTAGATCTGGAAAGACAAACAGATCAGAGATCCGATCGTTTACATCAGATTACCAGGGGTAATCTGATGTAAACAGACACATGTCCACTTACATGAGATTCCCCATAGACACACATGGGGTTCGGCAGTTTCAGTTTTTTCCTCCATCGTACTGCTGTGATCAGGAGAGGATCTGTTCACGGATCCTCTCCCGACATGCTCATCTGAAAGAGGCCTAACTCCTGAGTTTAGTGTCACTTTAAGACCAAGAACAACATTTTTTTGTAAACAAATACAATATGTACTTGGACAGGGTGTGTTGCTCTGCGATTTTCGGAATAACACCTTCTGATTTGCTTGTTTAACTTCTTCACATCCTAAAATAAAAAAAAACATTATTAAAATGCCAATCACAAAAAATGGAGGAAATATGAAATACAAAAGAAAATCTTACCCGCAATAACATTAAGTGATCAAAGCTGCAGTCTACAATGAGACGCAATGTGCTGGGTTGGACCTCCCTGCGCACTCTTTTACAAGTACTGCCATCCACATTTTGTCCTAGCTGAGCCTGCCGTTCAAGTTTCCTTTTCTGCCTCTTCTCTTTTCTCTTCTGCCTGGGAGTATATAAAAGGTAAGGCAACCCATTTCACTGCTGTTACAGACAAACCGTAGCACTGGAAAGATATTCTGCTGAAACATTATTTCTCAGCATTGCTTATGAGAAGCCTATGCCCCCATCAAGAAGTGCCATCTTCCATCTGTAATCAACCATTTCCTTGTGTGAACATCAGATTAACTCTTAAAATTAAGCGGCACTGCTAGAAAATAGTTGTATACACAGTTGAAACTATTATACCTAGCAAACAATTCTGGTAATTGTAGTCATCCAGTCTTGTGATCCTGACACCCCTACCCAACAGCTAAGCCATTCACTTGTAATGAGGTCAATATTCTGCCTGCTCTCCCTAGAGTCGTATAGTACTGGGCATATAGTATTGTACAATACAGCAGGGCATATTTAGCTTATAGGGCTCACTGTCCTTGTCCAAGTGCCACTGTGCAGGGAACTATAGGATGCTGGTAATAAGGATTAGAGTACTTTGATCTACTAGCCAATAGCAGTGACAACCATCGATTGGACAGATTCCAAAACGCCACTGCCTTTGCCCCTTTCTTCATTATTTCCATCCCCTCAATAAAGATTTAGGTTCAGTTTAGTACCTGATCCAAAGGCAGTCACCTGTCTGCATATCCGTTCTAAAATCTATACTGAACTGAATGTACATCTTTTTTGTAAAAGGAGTGGGGAGAAGTGAGGAGCAACTAGAATTTCCACCCCTGCTTATCACAAAGGAAGTAAAATATAACTAACAATTGAATGCTCTGCAGAACACCTTTCAGCCAGCAAGTGTCTAGTGCAAGGAAATGAAAACATGTCCAATCCAGCTCATGTCACTGTCATCTCATGCCTATTGGGCATTTCTAGGTAGTTCCCATGTATTATGTACTGAATAAAAAACAGAAACTTCTTTGTACTCTTCCTTACAGATAAACCATTACATTGCACAGAGTGGCTTTAAAGTCCACCCCCAACCTTCCTGTTGCTCTTTCCTACGTCACATTGGCCACACCATACTCAGACAGGGGCGTGGATTTCCTATTGCCCGAAGCCCGGGACATGCAGTCCGGGCGCCGAGCAGGTGGGTTTTTTTTCTACATTTAGCCCTGCTGCAAGGCAAGCAGCAGGACTAAATGTAGAGCAGGGAAGTTTGAACTGGGCAGCTGTACAGCCACCAAGATCACTTTTATGCAGCCTGCTTGTCCATCCGCCATTCCAAGGTCCGTTCCCCCTGCTGACCCCCACCTCCCTACTGTAATTTTCGGGGTCCCCCCCCTCTTCTGAGGGGGTTAAAATTATTTTTTGTATCAGGACAAGTAGATTGTCATGAGGGACAAGTAGAATGGGCCCTCGCTTTAGTCCCCGTCAGTGCTTCTGGTTATGGGGAAGCGTGACCTCCCCTCATGATGCAGTGCTCAGGTCAAGCAGCTAAATCAAAATGCACATACACTGTCATGACAGAAGGAATAACATCACCACCATGTGTAAGTTCCAAAGCTAGATATTTTGCAGCGAATGCAATGGAGAAAGGAATGGCAGGGGAACACTTTGTGGGTCAATATAACTGGGTCGGTATGAATGGACAGAATGACAGTCTTTTAACAAAGCTGCAAAATCAGCAAAATTCATACTTACTTTCTAAACTCTCTTTGATCTTCCCATTGCTTCTGTTTAACCATCTTCTTCATCTGGCTCTTAGACATAACCTCAGGTGCGTTCAAGGCTCCATTATTTATTTCCTCAGTATTACCAGACTCTGAAGTACATTTACTCTTCTCTGTTTTGAGTTCTGATGGTTCTGTGTCCATTGTAATACAGTCCTAAATATTTCATTCACATTAATCTTGTGTTTACGTCCTGCAAGATACAAGAAAAGAGGCATTTTGACCACCACAAAACACTTGACAGCAATACAAAGAATGTAGATTGCTCTTTAAAGCGTCATTCCACTTTCCCAGGTGAATTTGGGAAAACAGAATTGGCTCCTCTCCCCCATCCTTGCTATACTTACCTTTGGGTGAATGCTCCTTCCCCTCCGCTGGTGCACTGTGCATAGCCTGTACTGCCGTGCACGGCAACCTTGCACTCTGAATTTCGCTCGCAAATGACAAGCACTCATTAGTCAGCACGGTCACCTGACCGTGCTGACCAATGAGTGCTTGCCATTTGTGAGTTCAATTCAGACGGTATTGATAATACACTTGCACTGGTAGAGGGGAAGGAGCTTACACCCAAAGGTAAGTATAGCAAGAGGAGGAAAAGGGACCAGATTGGGTGGGGTAATTCCATCTTCCCAAATTCACCCTTTGTCTTTTCATCAAAGTAGAATTAAAGCGGACCTTGTAATCCAGCAATTAGTCTTCATATTTCCTTTCCTTTAGAGCAGACATCATAATGCCCCCCTCCCCCGTGGTCATTTATAAATGTTTTGAAAGGTGCCTTTATTTTGTATGGTATGTTCCAGGTGAAGCTAAAACTTTGTTTTGTATAGAGTGTTTGTATTGCGGTGTATGTCCCTGTTAGGGAGATTCACCTTCTCTACTTCTTCTGGTGACCATTATCATTGAAAGAGGTAGAAAAAAATACCTTTTCGGTTTTCAACAGAACAGAAATGGATGGGAAATTTTCCAATAGGGGACACTAGTTCTGGTGACCCTGCTGACTACAAGGGATTTCCTCTCAATTAATGTGGTGGCTATTGGACAGGAAGTGAAGAGAAATCTCCCTAATGACACACAGATGGCAATACAGATGACAGGGATTAAACCCCTCCCTTACTCTAGCCATTAAAAAAATTAATAGTACATGTTGCCAAGACATTTTCTCTGGCAAAGCTAAGTAAGCACCATATCAAGTTGTCATTTAGATGGCCACATTATAAAAAAAAAAGATAAAGAAGTAAAGGAGAAAAAATCCACAGATATTTATATAACAGGGATCACCAGTTATCCATCATCTGAGAGACTTATCTACATCCATACTGATGAAGGACAGCCAGGAACTATGCCCATAAGCTTATTCTCATTACAGTCCACAGCAGAAACCATACAGCATGAAAACAATGATAACATATTCCATGACTTGTTCTGTCACTAACCGAGACACCGGGGCACACACTACCGCAATCCTTTTGCCACCCCCACATCCCTTCCCGACTTCCTGCAGCTGCCACAACAACGTGCTAGTAGAAGCACTCGCTGGCGCATGTCTATGACGTAGGCGCTGCTGAAGGTGTGCACCGGCGCCATATTTGAAGTGGGCATTTCCGGGAGATAGGAGTTGTATGCAGAACATACTTCGTATATATCACGTGAAAGAATGATCGTGCGTTGTATGTTGGGCTGCCGGTGAGGCCCGGAACAATGTGACTGCTGGCTGTCTGCTTGGAGTTAGATCAATTCTGTTTTATTGGTCCTATATGGGATCTGTCTGAGTATCTGGTTGCGAGTCATAATTTTCAGGGTCACTCCCCAGATTTTTAAAATGTTCCCCTGGTGTTTGCTTTTTCACCAGTTACATACAAGTACTATATTTAGTAGTAGAGCTAGTTAGATCTACTGTGTGTTTGGCAGGGGCATTGTCATGCATCTGTGAACCTTGATTTGGATTTTGAAGGTTTCCAAAGTGTTTTTAAAATTAGGAAAGAGTTAACAGCCATTGATCAAAACTTTGTAATACCTGTTGGCAACACAACACATCACGTTTCCATGTGTTGCTATTGGCTTCTATGCCCTCCTCCCCCAATGCACTGGAAGAGGACAAATGGACATGAATTGCAGACAGTGCTGAAATAGGAGCAGACAGTAGGGCAGGGGTAGGCAAACTCCAGCCCTCTAGCTGTTGTGGAACTACACATCCCATGAGGCATTGCAAGATTCTCACAGCCACAGGCATGACTCCCAAAGATAGATGCATGATGGGATTTGTAGTTCACCACAGCTGGAGTTTGCACCCCCTAGGAGCTGACTGTTTTCTTATGGCAACCAATCAGCTGCTCTGTTCAGTTAAGCTTTTAAAATGAAAGAGAGAAGCTGATTGGTTGCCATGGACAACTGCTCCAGTTTTTTTGACTGCCCCTCGCTATCTTTATTATGGGTAACATCGACACTAGTGATGAGGCTGGGCTTCGTGTAAACCAGATTTGCCTGAGTTCCCTTAAGCCTGCCCAAAACACCCCTCTCCTGACCTAATCAGGAGCATTCCCTGCCCTTCAGCTACACGTCACAAAGGGCTGCCACTGCCCCCACAGATTGGGTTGGTAGGAGGGGGTCATGGTCAGAGATTTGAGCAGGCTTGGGAAAACTCCAGCTTCATCTCTCCATGACACATGTGTTTTAGTGCATCACAACATGTGCATTAAAATGCAACAGTGCAAATGGGGCCTAAGTTGTTTCCGGCTTGCTGCTTTGGGTTATGGGCTTCAATAAGAGCTTGTTCACACCATCCTGCATGTTGAATTCATCTGCTTTAGTCTGCAGGTTGGTGTCTCTATTTGTTACCAAGTCAAACGTCTTTATTCAATACAAAATAAAATACTTGTGTGCCCAAATAGTTTTTGCATAGCTTTTTTTTAGATACTTGCCTGCAGAGTTGAAGTATCTGAAAAGCCCAAACTTTTTTCTTCATTTTAGATGGAGAAGTGCAGGGTTAAAGTGGTAGTAAAAAGCTAACATAAACCTAAAATGATGCCCCTCCCCTCCCAGGAGGTGTTTGCCATAATGTAGTGGCATGCACAGCATTTTAGTACTTTATGGCAGACTTACCTTGCAGGCGATCCCCTCCAGCACTGTGATGTCAGTGTTCCCCTCCATCCTAAATATTTAAATTGGTAGTAAACCGACAACACAAACGTAAAATAATGGCTCCCTGAGGAGGTGTTTGCCATAACGGAGTGGTATGCACAGCATTTAACCACTTGCTGACCGGGCTGTTAACCAGTTGACATCCGCGGTGTTAAACCCCCTTCCCATCCAGGCCATTTTTCACTTACTGTCCAGGCCATTTTTCAGTATTTAGCACTGCAGTACTTTGACTGACATTTATTCATGCAACACTGTACTGAAATGATTTGTATACCATTTTATGGGGACAGATAGAGCTTTATTTTGGTGGTATTTAATCACCACTGCAAATACTGAGCCTAGGGTGACGGGAGGGCGCTAGTTTGTGTCCTCCCGTTACCCTACGGGTAAGACTTAACCCCATAGTTCTCCTTTAAGGAAAAATGACCGAAAATGTTTTTTAAAAAAACTTCCCCTATATTAAATTAATAATACTCATTTTTTTGGTAAAATTTAAAAGATGGGGTCACGTCGGGTAAATAGACACCAAACATGCCAGGTCCTAAAATTGTGCGCGCCAACAAAACCTCAAAAAACGACAATACACAAAACTGGCCACAGGTGATGCTTTACAAGCTTTTACCGCTCATCAATTTAGTGTTATCAGTGATTGATGGCCCTAAAATGATTGCTCTCACTGTGACGTTCGCGGAGATATGTAACATGTGTACAGCAATTGTAAGTTTCGCGCGTTGGCGCACCTGACGCGTATTTATGTTTATATGTGCATATACGTGGAGGTGGGGGACTTTAAAAAAATATATTTTTTTATACGTGACTTTTATTTTATTTTTATTTTTTTGTTTTTACACTTAATGTTATTGCTATCACATAGGGGATAACAATCCCTAATCTGAATGCTTGATTCTGATAGTATTGAGGCCAGGGATAGCCAGACAACTCGAATTTTCAGAAGGGAGACAGCAATGGCAGCCTGTATTTTTAATGGTGATTGTGTTCCCCATGCTATCTTGTGATTACAAAGCCTGACTGGGAAATGCTTCTTCTTCTCCGTGAATGCTGTCAGACGTAGCACAAGCGGGGGCTGAGCAACACTATGAGTTGCACTGTTGTGCAGCAGTTTTCAATACCGATTGCTGGATAACTAGAGCATGGAGAGAGGTCAAACATAATGTTATGTATTTATCAAGGTACCTATGTTGTATGGCTGTTTATTCTTCATTGAGTTATTCTAGGGCAGGTGTTGTCAACTAGAAATACCAAAATGCCTCTGGCTCTGAGAGTCATGCCTGTAACTGTCAGTCTTGCAATGCCTCATGGGACTTGTAGTTCGACAACATCTGGAGGGTCAGAGTTGCCCACTCGGTTCTAGAGTGAACTTCCACTTTAAATATGAACTTATTTTATTGCACAGTTCCAGTCTTAACCAGAAGGTGGCGATGTTATTCAAGAGACCTGATGAGTCGCACAAGTAACAGCGCTCGTGCTGATTCCGAAATCCTCGTGTCACAAAAATGAACTTGAAAAAATTGGGTTTGTTAAGGTATTTTATTTTCAGAAAAACTACTCAACTAATAGGAAATAATTTATGAGACATTGCTGCATGTTCAGCTGCATGTATCCAGAAAACTCATTGAAGGGAATTTATCAAAACTGGAAAAAAAATCAGCACTGTACATGGCAACCAATCAACTTCTCTTTTTTTCATTTTCAAATCTTAACTGAAGATAGAAGTTGATTGGTTGCCATGTACAGCTGCTCCAGATGTTGTCTGCTCCACTTTTGATGAATCCCCCTCAATACATCTTCTCTAAGTGGCTTTCCCCCTTCTGAATACTTCATAGAGTTTTCTAGCCCCTTTCACAGGGAAGGAAATATTGTATATGTAAACAAATTGAAGTACACTGGCATAGTACAAACCCACTTTTATATAAAACTCCACACTGCTACATAAAAACCACACGAGCACGCTGAATGGAGCTGCACAAATGAGGATTGCATGATGTGCAGTAGGGATGAGTTTGGTCCAAACCTGAGCGCCTCTGA